AATATTAAAGCAGTCGTTATAATACTATCTGTATACATTTTAATTCCTTTGTTTAACCGTTCTATCTGATTATTAGACAGACTTCTATCCGTATTTAGACAGAACTGTTAACGACGACGGCGAACAAGAGGGAGAATGTGAGCACTGTGTGCTGTCAGCGCCGTCAAAATAAAAGTCTGTTTGGCCTCGAACGCATCGGCCAAACAGAAAAATTTATGGGCCGATGCCGATGCCGATGCCAATATTTGAAAAATGCCAAATATCGGCCGATATATCGACCTTGGCGATATATCGGTCGACCACTAATTTGAACGCACCTGACATCGTAAATACGAATTTTCCAGAAGGACTTGAATGCAACAATAGACCTTATAGTGTTTAGAGCACAGAAATACATGAATGAGCCTCCTAGTTTTGTTGCTAGTGTTGTCTCTGTTTTCACAGGTGGGTATCTTCCACCTCCAATGCCATCTGTACCGATGCCTGTGCCTGAACAGGCCCCCAGCCCACCAGACTGGCAGTAAGAGCTTTTTCTCTATACAAAAAACACTCAATGCACACATTTAATCTTAAACACTCACCTATGATATGCAATGTTCATACAAAGATGGGCATTCTTCATTTAAATAACAGTATTTTTTAAATAATTGGCTTTAACTTCAGTACAGTAAAAACTTAGCAAAGAAATGTTATCTTTATAATTTTGTCAGACAATATATATAGGTATGTACTGTAGCTGCTTTTATATTCACCTTGCAGGGGATCATCATATTTTGAGAGTTTTGGCATCAAAAAGTTTGAAAGCTTTATCTAAAATGCATTCTGCTGATTCACCTTTTTAGCCCATTATTCTGCACTATGACCTGAATACGTTGTGTCAGTTTAGTAAAACACCTAAAAAGGGTCATGGAGGTACTAAAAATGTCACAACACACCCTGTTAGACATGTGCAAAGGTCACTTACATATTGATATTTTCTCTTTGATATCAGTATACCCTCCATCTCAGAGGACAGGGCACGTGAAGCTTTCGCAACCTATGTCTCCAGCAAGTGCTGCTATAGTTCTGCCCCCGTCAGAGAGGGAGTCATAACCAATATGGAGTCTTTTAATACCTACAGGGTGAGACCTAAATTACAAATTAAAAAACATTAAATCATCTTCATTATGACGTTTTCTTCTTCGGTATGTGTTTTTTTTTACATATAATGTTTAAGACATATAATTTTAAGGCGTGGAGGAGGATGAGCAGGTTCTTACGGAAATGTCTAGGACTACGCTGAAGCCTAAGCAGTATCGCTTTATACGGGAAAAACAACGAGCTGAAACTCCCCATCAGCAGCCTGAATGAAGAATTCATGGTGACCCGCACCTGCAGTTGCTGCAATACTAGGAGTCCTCAGACCCAAAAGTCTCTCAGGCAGGGATTGAGGTCAGGACAGGGCTGAAATGGAAGGCATCTGAGGCCATGGATGTTGCTGAGTCACGTCTGAAGCAAAGGGCACTGGTGGGCACAGTGGTTCAAGGAAGAGCAGGCCTGAGCAGCAACACGGCGTCGTGCTATGGCAAGGCAAGGAGGAAGGATAGAAGGTTGCAGCTCCAGGATGAGGTCAGAGCATTGCTTGAGGAAGTGCGAGCCAGCAGGATTGATGGGATGCAGCAGCAGGGAGCCTGGACAAGGTGGGAACAAGTAGTAGAACGCAAAGTTACTTCGGCCAAGCTCTGGAAATCTAAGCCCCACTGAATAAAATTCTTAATCCAGGCAGTCTATGACATTCTACCAAGCCTGTCAAATCTTTTCTGCTGGGAAAAGGTAGAGTCACCAGCTTACCCTCTGTGCCTGAAGAAAGAGACCCTGGATTACATCCTCAGCAGCTGTCTAAGAGCCCTGAGTGAGGGGCGCAATCGTTGGTGTCATGACAAAGTTCTGAAGGCCATAGCACAGGGTTCCTTAAATCCGGTCCTGGAGGACCACTGCCCTGCAGAGTTGAGCTCAAACCCTGATCAAACTCCGTCACCTGTGATTTTCTAGGGATCCTGAAGATCTTGATGAGTTTGCTCAGGTGTGTTTGATTAGAGTTGGAGCTAAACTCGAGCAAGATTTGAGGAACCATGTCATAGCAGATACCAACTCCAGCTGGATTACCCACTGTAAGCACCTACGCCCAACGAAGAAGACCATCACTATTGATAGGGCTGGAGAGAAGGTAACAACATCTGCCAGGACCTCCTCCTCTGGTGTGCTAACATCTGCACAGGACTGGGAGCTGAAAGTCAACCTGGGTAGGCAACTGAAGTTCCCAGAAACTGTTCCCATAACATCGTTGAGGCCAGACATGGTGCTGATCTCAGAAGCCTCCAAGCAGATCATCTCTTAGACTCACAGTCCTCTGGGAGGATTGTATCGAGGAGGCCAATGAGAGGAAGAGATCTAAGTACACAGAGCTGGTAGAAGAGTGCTGAAGAAACAACTGGCAAGCAAGGTGCGAGCCCACTGAGGTGGGATGTAGAGGGTTTGCAGCCCAGTCTTTTTGCAAGGTCTACAACATGCTGGGCATCAGAGGGGCCAGTATACAAAGGGGCATTAAGTCGGCCACGGATGCAGCAGAGGTTGCTTCAAGTTGGCTGTGGATCAGGAGAGGAGAGCCTTGGGTGTAGTGCCAGGTAGTGCTACCTGGACACAAGTTGGGGCTTGATCAAACCCGACTGGGTCGCCTGGGCGAGGATGTCTGATTATCGAAAGACCCGAAACACCAGATGACCCCAGGAAACATCACTGATGATGTGTCCAGAAGCATCACATGGTGATGCATATTAAAACCTGATGTGATTTGTGGTTGATAGAACTAAATGCTGCTTCTGTTCTCAGTATCGTTTGGAGACGTTCATGGAGTCCAGATCTACTGAATGGAGTCAGGAGCCTTACACAGGTACCCAGAAGTCAAATAGGTCATGTTTACACGTCATGCTGTCTTTTGCTTCCATTTACAATGGATACAAATCTGATCTTGTATTCCTGCACTATATTCAAATCTTACATGATGCAAATGCCAAGAAGGAAAATGTTCCTGCATTTAATGTGGCTCATAATCAATAAAAGCATACAATTTCAGGTCAGCCTGTGGATGCTGGTGTTCAACCTGCTCCAGGTCCGTGGCAGATTGCAGCTCAACCTCCGGCCTTCTTTCAAGAGCACAAGCAGACCATTAAAGTGCCCTATACTTCCTCAGTCAAGGTTTGACCTTTAACCACATGATCCACAAAAATTAAGACAGCAGGTCCCATTCGACACACTTTAGCCACTTTTCCACCGTCTGACCGAACGGTTCTAAGAATGGGAAGCAATTTCCACTTGAGCTTGGTTTGGCACAACACGATTATAAACCGTTCTCAGCCTGCAATTCTGAGCACAGTTGGCTGGTAGAATGTCTGTACTGATGTCTCCACTCAGAATTGGTCACTTGATTGTTGTCTGCCCACTAGTTCTCTCTCTCTCTGTAGCTGACCAAGTGCACTATTTGACTGAAGTAAATAGAAATATCTGATCATCCTCCATAACATGGTCGCTATTTACGTCTCATATCATATGTAAACACTTGCGTTACTAAAGCAACCACTGATGAATTTGTATTGGAGCTCTGTTATCAGGCCCACAGTGGAAAATGAAACCAAATCCATACCGGCTGGGCGGTTCGGCATGGAATGAAATGAAATAGATTAAGCATTAGAACGGTTTGGCCTGATGGTGGAAAAGTGGCTACTGTACAGCATTTCTGCATGAAAACTCAACACATTCTAAAGGGTTTGGCAGCATTTTATTTAATCTTCTAAATCACCAGAACATTCATTTTAATTTTTCTGTTTGTAGAGCACAACAGTCGAGTTCCGGAATCAAAAGTCCTATTCATTTTCTCAACACGATAGTGAATTTAAAATGATAACTTATAAACTTTTAAAGACAGACGTGCCATGTGCTATGTGGTTGTTAATCGATGGTTCATGCTTTTGTTGAAGCCATCAGCCCGCATTATTTTGTATGAAACTTATTTTAACAAACTTACTTTTTAAATAATCATGTTAAAATCCAGAATTCATGGTGAAGAGCTACATTACCCATGATTCTGCAAAGAAATTGTGACAAGCAAATTGTACCAAAAAAAAACACCCTCTCAGATGAAGCACTATGAATGATATAATAGTCTCTCTGCATTTTCAAAATACTTTGTAATGCTGTGATTTTTACCTCATAGCTGGTTTGGTTTGCTTTCGTGGCTTATAATTCTTTAACAATGACTTTTTAAAATCCCTATGGGACAAATGAATGGGACAAAGAAATATGTCTGGAACCAAGGCTGCTGAAAAAGTGTTTTACTCTCTAAAGTACAAATGCTTTTTGGCTTCCTGCAGCAGGTAAACTTGCCAGTAATGGTTATGTTCAGTAAGTCGGATCATATTTTAGAGCATTATATTCTGTTTGCACCCTAGAACTGTCACTTGTGTCTGGGAATGGGAAGAAACCCCTGTACCACCTGTGCTGGAGCTGGAAATGTAAGTACATTTTGACTAGCACAGACCGAACCAGCTGCATGCCGGGCTTTTAATTATCAAAGTTTTTTTCACTGAGGAAAATATGGCACTTGTATTGAGTAAAAGTATCTCTTTGTGTGGTGACTGGAGAGCAATTCAAGTTGAATTGTACTGGAATTGTGCACACAAGCCACAGAATATTTTTTCATTCAGTTCATCATATGACGTAAATACCCTAATATATGTCCTGTTTGTCCTCTATTGTTTTCCATGTGCAGAAAGTCTGTTGGGTGTGTAATGGTTCTGGTTACCGTCATTCTGATGACCGCTGCACGCACTGCAATGGGCGCGGACGTGAAAAGTAAGTCCTTTATAGCTGTATATAATGAGACATTTCTTTAAAACAGGTTTCTCTCCAAACAAAAAATTGCTTTTTTTAATGTCTTAAATTACCTACTTTACTTAATTTATATTTCTTTTACTTATTTTTTTTATTTAATTTAATTTATTGTATTTTGTTTTAATTTATTTTAATTGTATTTTTATAACTTTTGTGGCTACTGTGGGTTGAATTCTGATGAAATCCTGCAGGGGGCTTCAGTGGTTTGGTTGGTATTTTTCTGAGTTCTGACTTATCTGGTGTCTTTCAGCTGTAGTTCATGTAGCAGCAGCGGCTCTTGCCAGTGTGACACCTGCCGTGGAAAGAGACAGCTGCTCGTCTTCATCAACCTCAATGTTAAATGGTATGATCTATATGATATAACATTCATGTTTGCTAAGGCAGGCATGGATATTACTATATTAACTAGCTCAGTCACTGTTTGTGCTATATACATGAATCCTGCAGTATGAGGAGAGGTTTGCTGTTACGTTTCTAAACGATCATACTCATAGACTTGCATTGAAGTCATTCTTTGCACAAGAGAGCACTCATTTACAGTTTCTTTGAAATAAAAAGAAATCAAGTCATTATTATTAATTATTTCATGCTAATCAGAAGTCTTTCAAACTGAACTGTCTCATTCTAAAAGCTATTTTTGGACTATTTCAGGAGCATAGAGAAGGATGAATTCGTAGCGCAAGATTCAAGTGGTCTGAGAGTGGAAAAACTGGAGGAGGTTTCAGGGAAGGAGCTCTTCAAAGACGCCCAGAATATGGTACGAACAGACCGTACATATAGTGAGAGGTTTGTTGAAATTTGGAAGTTCATCAGATGGTTATGTTTACTGTAGGTCTATCCAGTGAGGGGCTTTCCTGATGTTTCTGTTGCACAAGCTTCTGAGCGCTTTGTAAGAGACCATCAGGTGAAATATGCCCAAACATCTCGCATGTTACAACAGGTACCACTGTCTTCATATGTTTATGTGCTTCCAGACCTTTTTATATTGTCATTTTATCACTTGATTATTATCATTCATAATTTTCAATTATAATTTGTATGTTTGTATGTAACAAAACAATGCAAATAACAAACTGTGCTATATCATTACCAGTCTGTCTGTAACTAGAGACAATCATCATGCTGAATCAGTGTATCATTCGATCATTCGTTTTTTGATTTAATATTGAAAGTAGAAAAATGAGAGAGAGGCTCATTTTTCGTTTTTTCGTTTGTTTTCAAAAAACGAAAAACGAGAATTCAGCTTAAATTTTCGTTTTTCATTCAGGGGTAGAAAAATGAATAAACAGCTTGAATATTCGATTTCTACATGTGGGCGGGAATTAAACACCCCTTTCTGCTGATTGGTCAGCCGAAGATCAAACCGTGCCATCATCAGTTCTTCCGCAGTATCACGCAGCAGAATAATAGTCCTCCACTGCTGCAGTTTTATGGATTCTTAGCACATTTATTGCAACTACATTTCATATTTTTTCATCAAACAAACAGGCTAATGAATAGCTCAACACAACTCATACTGGGGCAGAGTCTAGACAGGGCTTTCTTCTGTGTAGATATAAATTCTATTCTTTGCATCAGCTGGGCATGGCAGGGTATGATATGACAGCTGTCATAGCCTACCCTGTTCACCCAGTAAGTCTAAGTAATTAATTTGTTTCAAAATAAATATTTTAAACACAAAGACAAAAAGGAAGGAATAATAAATTGGCTTGGGTATATATAGGCCTATAATGTTCATGCAAGTACTGTCATTTTGACTGACAACCGGAAAACAACAGATATTAAATAGCCTACTGTTACAGTTATATAATGTAGTCTTGTGTTTTATTAAAA